TCTGTGCTGATTCGTCCACTCTCTCCTCGATGGCATCTATCTTTTGTGCCAAAGAATGAATCTCCTCCAAAGTCCCAAGCTTACGATTCATCTCGACAATTATTTGAGTCTGTGAATTCACAGCGCGGTGCAAACCATCTCTGAGCACCGGGATCAGGCCAATATTCCTCGACAGCTTGTTAATTTTCCGATAAGCCAGGTAGCCTCCAAGGCCAATGAACAGGAAACCTGACACCAACACCACGAATATCCACACATCTTCAGAGTCCTCCACCGACAGCTGAGTTGAACAAATCAAGTTCCACTGTTTCCAGGAGTCCATGATGTGTCCAACTGGGTCTGTACTGGCAGAGCATCCAGGAGCCCCTTCTCCTGTTCTCATAGTTGAAAAATTTTTATCAATCGCATTGAGAGACCAGCTAACGAGATCCATTTAAATGTATTTCAGTTTCCAGTTTCCAGAAAAATGACGAAGCAGCCATGCACCCAGCACCCAGAGACAGACAATGGCCTTGAGGATAAGATATGGAGGGGAGGAGGAAAAGAAGTGTCTGCACCCGCCAAGAGCCAGAAGAGAATGTTTATATGACTTATTTAGTATTAATAATCCTATATGTCATGATGGTGGATGAGTGTTTCTGTTGACAATAGTGAATTTCTAGATATTAACAATAATGTTCAAAGCTACATGTGTGAAAACAATGTTATTATTTACCATGAGGAGCTTTGTCATATTTTGTCCCCTGATCTTAGAGTAGAAGCTGGTCCCAGTGACATTTCTACTGGTTTGGATCCCGACCTTTGTTGGCTTTTAAATCAGCTCCAGCGTAAAATGAAACACTGTTTATCACATGTTATAAATGTTGCAGCGTGAATTTTGGCAATGCCAGCGATTTAATCCTATAAGCTAACACAGGAGCAGAAAGAAGGTCAGAGTCTGTTTCTGAGCTAGCAAGCTGAAACCATTTTACTGTCAAATCAACTAAATAAAAGCAATAAAAGGCTACAAACTGGCTTGTTTTGACTCCCTTCACTGGTGATTCTACGGGTGTAAACAGTCTTTTTGCCGTCCATCATGGCGAAGGGGACGGTCACATGAGTGGTGTGACGTCACGTGCAAAGGGTCAATAGGACCGGTAGAACTTCCGTGTCATCCTGGATTAGAAAACAACAATCCGAGCTAGCGAGTTAGCATCAGGAAGATTTATTCTGGTAAGCAATCAGTTAAATATTTCCCAATGTTATATCAATAAATACACACAGCGGTAAAGCTGGCAGCACATTATTTTACTCATCTGTAGATTACTGAATTATATTGGGGCAATATGGTGGAGTTAATCAGCTGAGAACTTAACTGAAAGCCACCTAAACTGTACCGATTTTGGTTCTGAAGACGAACAGAAACCTCCCCGGTGTCCTAATCGGGCCGTGGGGTTTCTGAGTGAAACGGTCCAAAGCATGTCTGCACCTCCGGTTCTGATATCCAGCTGCAGGGAACGGAATTCGGTTGAACGTCTCCGGTAATCCAATATCCGTTCTTGTCGCCGTATCCCAGAGAGAAAAAAAAAATCTGACCGACTAGCAGAGGCTTCAGAAGCTGCATATGACTGGTGACACATTGTTCTCTGCTATAACGCTAACGCAGAAACACCGGAGTCTCAGGCGTTGTTTACTATCGCTGTTTCAGCAGAGCGCCTTGTGAAGCGTCACCAGCTGCCCAGGGCTTAGACCGGAAGTTAGTTTCTGTTTTTCCTGCGCCAGTAAAAAAAAAAAAAAATCAGATTTTCTTTAAATTCCAGCCATGAAAATCCAAAAACCTTTTTCATCTGAGGTTTTAATACTTCTTTACACGTGCCATTCAAAGGAATTTTGCCTCTGGCCGATATCTTTAATGGTAAAGAAAAGCTGCTCTGAATGAAACCTACAACCCACCAGAGCCTTTATGTTGCTCTTTAAAGAGTTAGAAAACATAAATCACTGCAAAGTCTTCCTATTAATGTCTTTAATAAAATTCAACTCAATTCTTCAGTGTCAAATTTAACATTTTAATTCTTACTTAAAAAGAAAATTATGCTTTCTGCAGAGGCACGGGGGAAAAATAGATTTATGAAGATGTGGGTTTGGTGTAAGATCTGTATCAGTATTACAGAACGTGTATTTGCCGTGTAAGCCCCAGCATGTCAGCTCCCCATGATCTCTGTGGGGTTGTTTCTTAGCATCATGCTCTCTGATACCACTTGGTATTTTCTTATCAAATACGCCTGATGTGTGAAGGTCCCTCTTTTTTGAAGTGTCCCTCTGATGCATTCACTGATGCTTCCTGCATGACTCGGAGCTCGCTGGATGAGAGCTGCTTTCAAACAACAGACTCCACTGTTTGTCCAACAAAGCTTCCTTCTCTGCATGTTCCTCATCAGAAAGTCAGATCCTTCAGTTTCACAGCAGCAAACATGGTGCAGCTTTAGATATGAAAACACTTCAACTAACGCTCATTTCTGGGAAACATAGCCACTTGAGATATGAACTACGCAGACACGTCTAACCGCGGGGAATTAATAAACTTTCTGAAGGGAGAAGTGCCAGTTTTCTTTTTTACAGCACCCAGGCTACATATGGTGTAATTATCTTGTCCTCAACAGCTCTGCTGGGTGTGATGAATAAAAGATTCAACCATTACGGCACCCTCTTCACATTTCCTTCAACCACTTTTGATCTTTCTCAGTATATTTGGTTAAGAAGCACTTTATACTCGAACGATTAATCAAGTTACTCCGATCTTCTCATTCCATTTCCTGATTTTGATGAAAATGTCATGCTTTAAGAAAGTCAAGTCAGGTAAGTTAATTAAAAGGATAATTAACCCCATAACATATCTGATAACACAAACAGAGAGATAATGTTTGATCCTTTTGGTGGCAAGAACGATACAAAATGTAATCATTTTAACAGACTTGTGGTTACATCTTTTATTTTCAAGACAAAAAATAGAGGATGCACAAACTTGGTTGGAGATACGTGTGTCTGTTCTTTAATGATGTTTAATCCATACATTTGCAGTGGACTCTAGTAGGAATTAATGCCTTGTAAGTCGTACTTGGGGGGTGGAGGGGACTGGTGCACCATTTCCAAGAACTAGAAATGAGCCACAACACAGCTGAGCTTCAGAATGTAAGTTTTGGAGTCTTACTTCCTGATTTTTGGATATCTTGCCCCAAATTGGATAACAGCAGCATGACTCTACCACTGACTCACAACGTTGATGTTTAATCTCGATAAATAACAAAAACCCACGAAAAGTTCTGCTTAGTGCTGGGGTTGATAATGCTAATGGTTAGCTTCTACTAGCTGAGATGTTCTTCTACTAGCTGAGCCTTCCCCGTCGTGAGTCAAGATGGGTGAGTCCATGAATGTTAACTCATTCACTGCCAATGACCACTAAAGTCATCATTTGCATTCTTTTACTGTGTGGGCATCGGAATTCAATTCAATTCAATTCAATTCAAGTTTATTTATATAGCGCCAAATCACGACAAGAGTCGTCTCACGGTACTTCACATAATAAACATTCCAATTCAGGTCAGTTCATTAAGCCAATCAGAAATAATGTTTCCTATGTAAGGAACCCAGCAAACTGCATCAAGTCACTGACTAGTGTCAGTGACTTTACAGCAATCCTCATACTAAGCAAGCATAAAGCGACAGTGGAGAGGAAAACTCCCTTTTAACAGGAAGAAACCTCCAGAGAATCCTGGCTCAGTATAAGCAGCCATCCTCCACGACTCACTGGGGGACTGGCGGAACGAGCCCCCGCACCGTGAGAACAAACATCTTAGCCCTAAAGCCGATCTTCATCTGCATATGTCACACATCACGTGATCAGGAAGCAGAAAATCCATGTGTTAGGAGATCGTTTTGGGCCGCTGCTGTAAAAAAAGTGAGGCGCAAACCGGAAAAGCTTCTACCGATCACAATTCAACAACGGATTATGAAAGAACGGATAACGCTTGAAAGCGCGGATTTTTCCTGATGTAAGAGGTCAGTCTCCGCTTTGTTTTGGTTGTTTTGGCGTCGTCATCATCCTAGCGTGCAACGTTCTGTGACTCTTAAAATAACAGTAAAAACGGTGAGAAACGCTGGCAGCGAAGGGCTTTACCGATCAGGAAATGGCTGGCAGTGAATGAGTTAAGTGGCAGTGTGATGTAGATCTGTCAGGATTTTCTAATTCTAGAGTTTCACACTATTTTCTAACAGAAAGCTAAATCAGGAGATAGGTGTAGGAGGACCATTTTCATGGTCAAATGTGGAAAACAAATTTCCCACGCCAGTGTGACAACTAATAAACTTTAACTTAATAATAGCTAACCATTAGTATTAGCAACTCCACCAAACAGAAAAACGCCTCCAGACTTGTGTTATTTGTGGAGATAAAACATTGTCGCAAGTCAGTGGAAAAGTCGCGTTGCTGTTATCCAATCCGATGCGGGATGTCCAGTTATCAGGAAATAAGACTGCTGTCTGCTGCCACTCTATGCTGGAGCAGACTTGTTGGTGCTGATCCAAGCATTTCTGGGCATTTTTTACCCAGAGTTTGGCTTGTGAGGGATTCATTTGAACCAGAGACCACTGCAAATGTATTGATTAAACACGTTTTCCACACCTTAACATTTATTTTTCTAAATATCTAGCAGCATGCACACTTTTTGCAGTTCTCTTGCACTTTCATGCTCATGTGAACTAAATTTAGCTTGGTTAGAGATGGTTTCCAGACACACATCAGGACTTTGTGATTATTATTATTAAGAAATTTTCCACACAAAACATATTTAGAGGTGGAAAACCTTGCAAGTCATGCATAAACATTGGAACATCTCACTCATGAACACGGTTTGCAACACAAAGTATCTTTTTTCTAACCCTAGAAGTTTTAATCTAAGACAGAGTGGAGAAAAACCCACAAAAGCAACCTTTGAATAAATATAATACATAAAAGTACTACTTACGCTATGTACTGCTCCGTCTTGTTATACTTCTTTGCCAGATACTTGGCTGACGCTTTGCTGGGTATCTTGACAAAAGACAGCTCTTTACCGTATCGAGTCATGTTGCACGGCGTCTCGCACACACAGTAATCATTGTCTTTCTCGACGAGAAAGTCTGAAAAATGAAGATGACAGAGAGGATGAAAGAGAGGAAAAGAGTATAATTTATCTTCATTGCAGGATGACTAACAAAATGCCAGTTGAGTGAGAGGCGTCAAAGTGAAGGCACTATGAAGAGCGACCTCAGGGACCTTTATAAGACATATGAAAAAAGATATAAGACTCATGCTGACAGAGTCAGAGGGACAGCAGCCGCCGGAGGCAAACGCATGAGACAGTGTCACATAAGAGCGACAGAAAACAACCGACAGACATGAAAGGCTCTCTCAGATGGAGAGACGGGGGTGTGTGAGCAAAGAAGAGCATTATTGCTACCTTCATGCTGAAGGAACACTATTATCTGTTATCAGTTTGGATCAGGAGTTTTGAACAGCGGGACAAACACACCAACAGCGTCTACACACACACAAACATCACACTGGTTTATCTCCTTACCCAAGGCAGGATCTGCACACTCCTTGTACTGCTCCGGGGTGCAGTATGGGGCATCTCCTGAGAGCAGGCAGCAGAAAGAGAAAAGGTTCAGAGTGGAATAAAAGAGAAGAGAAGCAAAAATAAACAAAGAAAAAGTTGGCAAAATCTGGATTTGAAAGATTTTCTGTGTCACAGAGTCATTTCTCCTCATAATTTTGTTCTAGTCTCATAAACGACTTCATTCATCACTGCCTGAAATTTCTGTCAACCTCTTGTCCATTTGTCTCCCTCTGACAGTTGAGCCTTCTTTTCTAATCTATCAAGACAGAGTTGGATAAAGACCTGCCATGATCGAGGAGGAAATTAATCCCTTGCTGCAATAATTCATAATCGTTTCTTTAAAAGACTCTCCAGTCACAGAGGGATTGAGAGAGGAACATCCAGGGGATGCAGGATTTTAGCTGTGTGATTCACTGTAATCAGCTGGAAACAAGGAAGCATGTAATCCACATGTCACACAGACAGATTATCAGGTTGATTGAGGACTGTGATGTTTAAGGCAGGCAGGTAAGTGGGAGTCAACCAAGTCCAAATCCAAATGTTTCCTCTGCGCCTATTCCCTTTTCAATTTACCATCCGAGATCCCACAAAGTGATTAAATGTAGAAGGTAGAAAGCAAACGCCAGCTTTAATCACTGCACAAACACAAAGTGAAAAAGGGCGAGTTTCCGATCCACTAGAGTGCAAAAGTATCGGATTTTCTGAAGTCGCTGCCAAAAGGCTGTTTGTTCCTCGAGCGGGATTGTGACCGCCACTTCACGTGAATGGATTTCCAATGAGACAGCAATAACAGCCACTTCAGCACTTCACCACTACGTGAATGCTGATAAGGTATGTCTGCATGCGAGGGGTGAGATACCGGGCATGTGGACCATCCTGCAGTTGCAGTTCTCCACCAGGTATCGGGTCTCACAGTCGATCCTGCAGGCCGTGATGCTGTAGCTACTGAAGAAGTCTGAGTTAATCGGCGTGGACTTGCAGTCTCCCCATGGCGGCGGCAGGTACGTCAGCTGAAAGAGAGCCAGAAACCCCTTTAGCCTCAAAATAGCCCATTCTGTGCTGCTGTAATTTGACCTTGTACTTTCTGTCAGGAAGATGACAAACTTGTTAGTCCATCTGTATTACATTTACATTACACGGGCCATTTACTGTATTAGACACAGAGGCTGAATCACATTCACAGTGAATGCATCTGTGCAGCGGTGGTCATTGTTGGAGCTTTTCTCCTACGCTCTCCTATTTCTAGTCTCCCGCTGTGCTTTCATCGTACTGCCCACTCCACGCAGAAGCTCAATGGTACCAGCTGTGTAGTAGAAGTGTGTTGTTGTAGGAGTTTCTATCGTCACAGTTGCACTGCAGAACAAAACCCCACAGGCATCAATGTTTTAACCAACAAGTTTACAATTTGTGTCACTTTTTGTGGAACCTCGTTGAATAAAAGATGTACTTCTAAAGTCGAACAAACCAAAGACGTGGATGGTAAAACACAGAAACACCCACGACTCCGGTTTGATTTTAATCTAGATCTTTTCATCTTTGAAGGTCTTTTGGTCTGCAGATGCTGGTGAATGCATTCCTGAGCAGGCTGCTGTGATCCTAATAGGTTTAAACAAAAAATATGGACTTCTGAAACGTTCTTGAAGACATTTTGATTTGCATCTAATGTTTAAGTTTAATAGCTCTGTTTTTCCATTTCAATAGATAAAGCTCTACTTGATTTTTAGATGCTTTGTTTAGATTTCATGTTTTCATAAAAGATTTTAATTAAGTTGGTGCATTTCTGTTATTTTGTGTATGAGCTGGATTCAGCATTAGGTCTTTATTGTATAAGTGATGTGCAACAAAGCATTATAGTAAAACATTAAGTGAGTAAATGATCATGCAATATTTCTGAAAAGTTAAAATATTGTCTAAAAGTTAGAAAGCCAGTGACTAATAAATTATTTAGTTGGTCTTATTGCATCAAAAATGTGACATCTTAACACAAAATAATTTAAAGGCCAACTTTACTCATATTTTAACACAGTTGAAGTGGCGTCGAGACAACACTGACACAAACAATGGACCAACAACACATTGAGATGCAGACAGGGTTTCATACACAAAGGGAAACCTTCAGGGAGGCGGGTGACAGGTGTGTGGGGAGTAATCAGAAGGGATCAGGTGAGACCACTTAACTGAGTGGGGAAAACTGACTACAAATGAGTGAACTCCTAGAACCTGAAAACAAGACACCAGAAGAAAAACACCAACAGGGATGGGATTACTACATCAGAAAACTCTACAGGGGAACCCGATAATAAAAGTACAGCTTTTAAAAACGACTTAAAAGTATAAATATACAAAAAAGCTACTCAATTACAGTAACGTGAGTAAATGTAATTCGTTACTTTCCACCTCTGAGGTGAACAACTGAACAAAATAGAAAGGAGAACTCATAACTATGGGGCCTTTTGTACAGCCGCCCCCAAATGTATGCTCACAACAAAAGGTAACTTCTTTAATAAAGTCACTGTGATTGTCCTTTTTCTTCGTCCGGGAGGGCAGGCAATACCACCAGCCTCGCCACAGGTCGGGTGAAGGTCCTGTCTCCCACCTTGACGTCAGCAGACCTGATGTGCCCATCGGGACTGGGGTGGACCTTGGAGATGCGACCCAGGAGCCAGGAAGCGCGGGGTAGCTGAGGATCTATGATCATCACCACCGAACCTTTGGTGACGTCCGCAGGGGATGACTGCCATTTCGGGCGAAGCTGTAGGCTCGGAAGGTACAGTCGGATGAATCGAGACCAGAAGTGGTCAGCCAGCACCTGAGAGTGTTTCCATCTGCTGCGACTCAGGAGCTCTTCTTTAGGGTAAGCGACTTGAGGAAGCGCCCCATCAGGCCGCCCCATTAGAAAACAGTTGGGGGTCACTGGATCAGGATCACTGATGTCGGACGGGACATAACCTAGTGGTTTGGAGTTTAAGATGCCCTCCACCTCCACACGGACCGTACGGAGGACCTCCTCTTGTAGGGGTTGAGATCCGACTGTAGTGTAGAGCGCCGTCTTGACAGATCTAATCTCCTGCTCCCACACTCCCCCAAAATGAGGAGCCGCTGGTGGATTGAAGTGGAAGTCGATCTTCTGGGGAGCCAGGAGCTTCTGCAGGTCAGCGGTCATGGCCGTGAAAGCTACTTGGAGTTCCCTTTCTCCTCCACGGAAGTTGGTTCCCTGGTCTGAGTACAACTCAGCTGGGGTCCCTCTCCTGGCAACAAACTGACAAAGTGCCATTAGGAAGGCATCTGTGTCGATGGAGGTCAGGACATCAAGGTGAACCGCTCTGATAGTAAGGCACTTAAAATGATGCCCCACCTTTTCTCCACACGGCGCCCGATTTTGACCTCAAAGGGTCCATAACAGTCCATACCTGTCGCATAAAAGGCAGGTTTGTAAAGGCGAAGGATCGCCACTGGCAGGTGGGCCATCTTGGGAACCGCTGGTCGGGCTTTCCATCTGCAACACTCTAGACAGGTCCTCTGGAAACACCTAACCGCTTCCCGGCCTCTCAGGATCCAATGAGTGCGCCGAATCTCCACGAAAACTCTCTCTGGCCCTGGAGGATGCAGACGACTGTCAACATCCTGAATGAGCAAGCTGGTGACCGGATGTGTCGGATCCAAAACTAAGGGGTGCGAGTTGGTAAATGCAAGATCTTCAGAGCGGCGGAGAAGTCCCCCTACATGGATAACCTCATCATCATGGTCAAACTCAGGGGACAGTGCGAGGAGACGACTACTGCGATGGACAGACTTCCCCTGCTTAAGAAGCCGATACTCCTCAGGAAAGCTCTCCCTTTGAGCTTCTCTCAAAACGTGCTTCTCCGCTTGAATATAGTCCTGAGCTGATGAAGTTCCCCCGCCTCCGGCCGCCCCATGCAACTGCGTAATAACCACCTCCAGCAGCTCTGCCCAGGTGTCATATCCACTGAAGTTTGAGGTGGTGGGGTCAAAGGTGGTAGAAACTCCACAAAAGGTCTCTTTGCGGAGCTCAGATGAGCCTGGTGGCTCAGCCAGGGTGCCGCCCGGCTCTGGAGGCCACTGCTCTGGACTTAGGAACAGGAAAGGATGCCCTTGACTCCATCTGTTGGGTCTGGCCAGTTCCAAAAGGGTATTCCCATGGGTTATATCATCCGCGGGGTTCTGGGCTGAATCCACATAGCGCCAGGTATGCGCTTGAGTTACTTCCTGGATCTCAGCCACGCGGGTGCCGATGAAGACCTTGAAGTGGCATGACTCGGACCTCAACCAGATGAGTACAGTGGTGGAGTCAGTCCACAGCACTATTCTCTCCATGTCCAGGGTGAGCTCATTTCTATGGAGACGGGAGAGGTGCGCTCCAGAGAGGGCACCACACAGTTCGAGTCTGGGTATGAAGAGAATGTGTTTAGGGGCAACACAGGAGCGGGCCATCAGGAAGACCAGATGGGAGCTGCCATCACCCGTCACTGTTCTCATATAGGCCACTGCACCATAAGCCTGTTCCGATGCATCACAGAAGATGTGAATCTCTCTCTCACTGACTGACTCCGTGATGTGCTTTGGGAGATAAGGGCGAGGAAGCAGGACTTGTGCAAGGAACGACAACTCCTCCTCCCAGGTTTCCCACTGCTGTAGCAGTTCTGGCGGAAGCTGCGGGTCATCCCACCCCCTCTGTTGATCCCAAGGGCACCTCACCAGCATCTTCACTTGGGTAGTGTACGGTAGGATGAAGCCAAGTTGGTCGTACTGGCTTGCGAGAACCTTATAACTGTTCCGCATAGTGGGGGTGCCATAACTGACTTTGCGGTGCTTGTACCCCAAAGTGTCCATGGGGAAGTGCCAGCTAAGGCCCAGAGTTGGCTCGGAGGTGTCTGATTTGTCTTGAGTGAGCCAAAGTCCTGCACTTGCGGATCTGAGGTGGCCAATGGTGCTGGGTTCATTACTGGCCCACTGGCGAAGGACAAATCCAGCAGAAGACAGGAGGGCTCTTAGCCGGTCCACTAGGTCCCAAGCTTCAGGGGTTGGTACACTCTGAAAGAGGTTATCAACATAGAAACACTGTCCCACAGAGTGATGTATTAGATCATCTCTGTCAGTGTGATCCCTGACGTGGCGCTGCAGAGCGAAGGTTGCACAGCATGGACTGCAGGTTGTACCGAAGGGGAGGACCTGCCATTCATAGACAGCCACAGGTGCCTCAGGGTGCAGATCCCGCCACACAAACCGCAGAAGGGAACGGTCTTCAGGAAGGAGGCGAATCTGGTGGAACATACCCTTTATGTCACCAGTAATGGCTACGGCATGCTCACGAAAGCGAAGGAGGACATCAAGGAGCAAGGCGCTCAGGGTCGGCCCAGGTAGAAGATGGTCGTTGAGGGCTTGGCCTTGGAACTGGAACGAACAGTTGAACACAAGGTGATCTTTGCCTTTGTGACTAACAAGGTGGTGAGGGATGCACCAAGACTCATCTGCTGGAGCAACCTTAGAGGGGGCCACCTTAACCACCGAACCAGCCTGGACCAACTTCTCTATTTCCGCGCCGTAGATCTTAGCCCGCTCTGGATCTTTCTGGAGCCTTCTCTCCACACTTCTCAAACTGGGAACGACTACGTTAGGGCTAGCTTTAAGGTGTGGCATGTTCTGGTGGCAAAGGAGGGGGGTGGCATAGCGGTGGATGCCCTCAACATCCACACGAACTGTCTTCTGCTCCTGCAGGTTAACTACATAGTTATCTTCTCTTGACCGAGTAACCACTTTGCCTTCTGGTACTGGGACGACATCTACCTGCCATAACTTCTCCACATGTTTGAGTAACTCACTCATCTGAGGAGGGATGGCAGTCGGCACTGTTGTGACAGCGAAAAGGAACCGATAAGGCTGGAGGGGCCCTGTAGTGTCCACCCTAACCTGGTGCGCATAGCAGCGGGACCACCCGGTGGACCGAGATGAACAGCTTCAGTTGGAGTGATGAGCTGTGGGTGGTCACTGC